TAACCCGCTGGAAAGTTGTGCCAGGCTTGAAATCTTCGAGTGGTGAACGAGCCATCGGATGACGAAGCAGTGACTTTGGTGTCATCACCACAGCTGGCTTACGGAACGGCATGGCTACCTTAAATTGAAACATGACCATCGATGCTTGAATAGGAAACACTTTCAGAGGAGAAGCTTGAACAAGCTAAAATAAGGTATGAAGACAAGTATAATTAATGAAAAACCAAAATAAACAATGGAGTGCGGCTTGGGTGGGCAGTGGCTGACTTGTGCCATTTCGTAGCTTCACAAGAATTCGCAGGTCTCACCAAAGTCAGTTAGTTATCATGAACTAACAAAGAAAGGAGAGAGCGCAAAATGCTCCCCCCCCCTCGCCAAGCCGAAGAACGCCCGAGGGCTATAAGAACGCCCAAGGGCTATAGACAACTTGCCTGTCTTCTGAGCAGATGGAAAAGGTTGGCAGGTGTGGTGCAGTTGGCGACGATCCAGTTGGTGTCATGGAGCTGCTGAGCTTCAAATGTGCCACCAAATGCGATATTCTGCAAGTCATAGAAGTAATATCCACACGAGGGGGCGTCAGTGCGTCGATATTTGTCTAAAAAACCCATATATCAGCACTCACTTCGAGATCAATCTGATCGTCCTCATTGCACATTTGTAGGTATCTTTCTGGACGAGCTGATGAGTGTTCAGGTCCCATTCCTTCGTAACCGTGCGGCAAAAGCATCACTAGGCCAGACTGACGGATCCATTTCGACTGTCCTGAATAGCGTCAGTCATTACATATTCGGAGTATTAGAAGAGAGAACTCTTTGCTCAGTTTGGACGGGTAAGGGCACCAGATGGTACTCAGAGAAGCCTGCAAGGCGCATTGTAATGCTGTGAACGCTTGTTACAAAAATAGTAAAAGGAAGTAGCCAAAGTGCAGAATGCACCTACCAACCCTATCAGCGCCACAATCTTTTCAGCCTGTACCGGCCTCGAAATCAGTGAGCAAAAACACTAACCAGACGAAATGAACTGATCGATCACAGACTGAGCGTTATTGGCGAAATCGCCGAACTGCGCTTCCCAGATGACCAGGGAATTCGGGTTGACCATAGATAACCTAGATTTGATCACAGATTTGTACAGTTCTAGTAAAAACCACTCTTAAGGCAGTGGCTACTGCAGTCGTGTTAGCTGTGAGTGCTGGGACGTGTCAGGGGGTCTGGTTGGTGCCGGTCCTCCACCACTCTCTTGCCTGCTTCCACAATAGGTGGAATGAGCTGGCGTCAAGCCAAACCAAGCCTTACCCCTCCAACATGCTCCGGCGTTCACAGCGAATAAGTCTATGATGAAAGCTTTATCTAAGCAGTTCACACTGCTCACAAAGTGGTAGAATTGGAACATACCAAGTTCAAATCCAAGTACGGCATATTCTGATAGGGAAGAATTGCATACGATGTATTGTGCTTGGCCTTCTTGTAGATCGTTCAGAGGATTGTACGTCTACAAGGGACGAAGTAGAAAATGTGAATTACTGTGCCTATCTGAGGGTCCGAAGGAGGCGTTCCTACGCACTACAGTCGTCATCCGTGCAGTTGGTTAGGCGGATAAAGGGTCGCGACGCGGCTGCGGCTCGTCACGACCGCGGCGATCAACTGTTTCCAGCCTGGTTTAGCCATTTTCTCCCTAATTTTCACTGTATTTTCTATTTTTTTTCAAGGTAAGTTGTGTTATTGCCTTTATGAAGTGTATCAGGACGTGGATTCTTTTTTGTTTTTGTAATGAAGTGTTTTTGCGATTTTTTAGGTATTCGATTTAATTTTTTTCACTCTCAGAGTTAGAGGAATCTCAATCACAATTATCGAAGACAAGGAACAACTAACCTCAAGAAAAGCAGCCAAAAACAGTGAAAATTAGGGAGAAAATGGCTAAACCAGGCTGGAAACAGCTGATCGCCGCGGTCGTGACGCGCCGCAGCCGTGTCGCGACTCTTTGCCGCCTAATCAAGGCCCGGATGACGACTGTTCATAGTTTAGTGCGGACAGCCATTGAGGGAGGATAGCGCCATGTTCACTATGGGGCGTCAGCCTATTCTCTGAATGCCTGTTCA